GTCCTCTTTTGGAAGACCAAACAAAGTAGTTTCGCTTTCACAACGAAGCACACAGCGTCTTCACGACATGGCGGCAGCAACAATACTACAGCGAGAATAAAAGTTACGCCTTCTTTCTTTGCGTGAACATTTGGGCGGCGTTATGCAAATCTTCCCACATAGTGATGTAGACATGTGGGGGCGTCTTAGAACGAGCCGTTTTAGGTAGGCGTGGTTGACTCTGAACTTTTATAAAGAATGTCTCTTTGGATTTGAGACTTTAGTCTTTGCAACTTTACAGATCTTCTTTATGCACCAAGAGCTTGTAAAACTCCAAAGAGAAAGGAAAAATTGAAATCACATCATATGACCCCTTTAAACTGATCATAAGCGACGGTAAAAACATTTGTAATGTTACAAAAAAAAAATTGTATTTCAAATAAATGCGGTTTCTTTTGAACTTTCTATTTATCAAAGAATATCAGGGAAGCAGCACAACTGTTTTCAACATTGATAATCAGAAATGTTTCTTGAGCAGCAAATGAGCATATTAGAATGATTTCTGAAGGATCATGTGACACTGAAGACGACTAATGATGCTGAAAATTCAGCTTTGATCACAGGAATAAATTACATTTTACAATATATTAAAACAGAAAATCGTAGCAATATTACACAATATATTTTGATCCAAATAAAAAACATTTAAAACCCCCTTTTTTCAGATTTCATACATTCAGACCATGTGTGATGAGATCAGTAGGAACAAATCTGTCTCACCAGTCTTTCTCCTCCGGCGGGATTTGGAGCGAGGGGTCAAGTCTCGCACATAAACGGCCGTGTTGAGTCCGGCCACTACAGCATTGATGGTCTCATCCAACCACGTGGACTGCATCATATATCTGGGAGCGAGCTAAAACACAATACCACACAAAATCAAACACACATTAGCTCATATCTAAAGCAGTACTGCACAAAACATTCCCAAAGTTCACTCACTAAGCCTAAGTGTGAGCAAAAGTAAAGGTCCTTGCTAGGGGTTGAACGACTTCTGATTTTTTGAAGTCGACTTCTATGTGATGAAAGTCGAGTCGAAGTCGACTAGTCGCTGATGACGTCATTAATGAACAAATAAGTCTGGAGCTGTGACAAACACCTTGTGCACAGCTATGGCATATGACACAGCGCTGCCCACACGGCTATTGCTCCTATAACAGCTAATTTTTAACAGTTCTTTTGTCTTTGGGTCGTTATATTTCTCACAGATTTCTGCTCGTTTTAAATCAGATACAGATAAAGTAGCACAGTAAAGATTACATTCATATGAATGCATTAGTGAGAGCGATTGTGTGTGATCAGATACAGATAAAGTAGCACAGTAAGTAAGTGAGAGCGATTGCGTGTGTGAATTAATTCTACCTGGCAGCGTCTCTCTACTAGTAGGCTACTGAAGCTGTGGGATTTAGTTATTAAGCAATATATGCTTGAACTTTTCAGTTTCTAAGCTATTTTATTGAGAAATCACAGAACAGTGTTGACAATACATTTCCGCGCTAAATGATTCTGTGCGCCTGATGTACGCGCTACTGTCTGTAGCTGTGTGCACGTTACAGTGCAGCAGTGCATTAGATTAGAACGGCGATTAACTTTCCTGTACAATAAGCTGTTTAAAACGTGCATTCTCCCATTCAATTTCGAGCATCCAGTAATATGTATATATAATATAACATTAATACAAATGTCTTGTGGAGCGCTTTCAGAGTATGCATTTATTTGTCATTTTAACTGTTTGGAAACGGAGCGTAAATGTGGGAGTCCTTCAAAGATTTCTTATCCTGTTGCGCCCTCTATAGGACCAGCGACTAGTCGACGTCAAGTTTAAAGCGTCATGGCAGAGCTTTGAAGTCGATTAGTCGGTGCAACTCCTAGTCCTTGCACACTGAGTCCGAATTTTTATCTTTTTTTTTTTGTATTCGTCATCCTTTCCTATCAAAATGCTTGCTGCGGATGCGAAAACGCAGGAAATCGAAATTGATCCAAATTTTTTTTATGACGGACAAAATTTTTGGAGGCAGTGTGTAAACATGATTGACACAACGCAAGGTCTTTTTTTTTTTTAACGGGCGAAAATTTAAGACTCGGTGTGCAAAGACCTTAACAGTTACAATATTTATGTTCATACTTGTTCTAGCATTTAGTTATCCCATTTACTTGTATTTGAACAAAACAAACATCGGTTAGACCGGATTCATCATCTCAGTGACACACCAATCTCAGCTCAGCAGCACATCAGTAAAGACACTGTTACACACTTGTGATTAGACAGCAAAGCGAAAGCATCATGCAAACCTGCGCTTCAGTGCGTGCCTGTGTGATGCGCCGTCTGTTGACGTTGGCCCGAACACGTTCGCTGTGCTGGGTGCGTGCGATAGCGCGAGTGGGTCTGGACCGGGGACGGCTGGTGGTGGGGAGAGAGCTGCTCTCGTCCTCACTGATTTGTTCAGAACCTAAAACAAGATATTAGCAGGAAAACATGGTTATTAGAACAATACATAACAGGGCTGTCAAAATGGCTGAAAAACTAAATTCAAATTTTGTACTTAAATATTATCAATATTCGAATTATATTCGAATTTAAAAGGCATAATTTCAGTTAGGGGCAAAAAGCTTTTGGCTTCTGTCAAAAGGCCACAAGAGGATGCATAATATTACTAATGCACGTTTAAAAAAAGTGCATAATGTTTAAAATAATGTTTATAAACCCAGTATAATTAATTAAAGTCCCCATGAAATCAAAATTAAAGTGTTAGTATCAATATGTTAGTCTTAAGGTTATCTATAAAGCATTGTGCTCCAAAACAGTGACAAAATTCACATTTAGAAGATATAAGCATTCAAAGCTTGCAGTTCGTGCAACCGAAGCGCGTGAACCCACGTCTCAGAACGCGAGCAAATATTAAGATCTCTGTGAAGTATTGTGTTTAAATGGGCAAATTCACACAAAAATTATGTCAAAATGCCCGTCTTGGTGAGTATCCTAGCAGACATAGTTAGTTTTTTCCCTAAACATAGTACATACCGAACCGAAACCGTGACCCTAAAACCGTGATACAAAACCGAACCGCGAGTAAGTTGAACCGTTGCACCCCTAATAAATATGCATTCTATGTGATCGGCTTGGTTTCAGTTTTGCCGTAGAATTTCTCCGCATTGATGTTCTCTTTTTCTGCAATATTTGAAATGAGCAACGCCACATCTAGTGGGCTCGACTGGATAGGCTAACAAAAACATTCAAATGCAATGACACCTACATCGTCATCGCATCTCGT